CGTACTAGGGTAGGGTCATGGTCCCTGGAGGTGAAACCCTCCTTAAATTTGGCACCCTGGGCACTTTACTCTGGGTTGTGTCAAGGAGGTTTGACCTGGGCTGAAATGACAAAAGCAAACCTCTCGGTTAAGTATCTCTGTTCCATGTAGTTTAAAAAAACACAAAGTGCAACAGAAAAATGCTTTTATAAAAAACTCACCATTTGGGCCATTTACTCTTAAGAATTATAATACTACTGGGAGCATCTGAGACCTTGCTTCCTGGCATGTTATCTGTCTGGCTCAAATAAACTCAAAAAATATATTTTAAAAAAGATTTATAATACTGATGAGAATTTAATCAGAAATAAAGACTCAAGGAAATTTGTCACCAAAAGTCTGAAATCACTCATTGAGGGTACAGGTAATGATTTGTTCTTGTCTTCATGCTCCTTTTTCGTAATTAACTTCAAGTCCCATAACTCTAACATGAAAGAATTGGCAGACGTCAGATGACAAACACTGGAGCCGTATTTTATTTCTGGTGCAGCCTCAGGGTCATTTCTGTTTGTGGCTTCCAAAAAGTCCGTCAGATCTCTGCTGCCTCCCTGTGAGATGTTCCCATGCCAAAACCAAGCCGATAAACAACACAGAGCAGGCAGAGTTAGGGATCAGATTCTCATCTGAGATGATCACTTCCTAGAGGCTTTTATGGGGATGTGTGTCAAAACACAGCCCATTCATGGATTTCCAGCTGATTTAAAAACTTGATTCCTCAAAAGCAACCCAGACAACAAACCACAGTAGTCATTGGCCCAGGGTCTGAGCGACACATTTGCCTCAACCAAGAGGGTGTGGATCAGAGAGAATGCTGCTATTTTTCAGTAAGTTTGTTTCCTGCAATTCTAGTATACAGTATTCTATATTATAAATTGATGCAGTTTGATAAAGCTGAGCCTACCATATCCATGAAAGTTTTTTATTTTTATTTTTTTTATCCTCACCTGAGGATATTTTTCCATTTTTTGCACAGATAGAGTGGGAGGGAGAGAGAGGAAGGGAGAGAGAGAGAGAAACATCGACGTGAAGGGACACATCGAGTGGCTGCCACCCGCACAACCAACCAGGGCCGGGGACAAATTGCAACCGAAGTACGTGCCCTTAGCGGGAACCGAACCCGGGTCTCTCCAGACCACAGGCTGACGCTCTAACCGCTGAGCCAAACTGGCCAGGGCCATATCCATTAAAGTTAACATAGCATGGTGAGAAATGCTTTCTGATCACCAATAGCTCTAAACTTGGGTACACCTAGCCAGTCCTGAGAGATAAGCTTGTCTGGTCCCTGTGACCTCCTAGCCCCTGCTGAGCTGATAGCATGGAGAAAATTAAGAGAGGTGAGGCATAAGCTAGGGCTCCTCAGATTGAGCAGTAGGCCCTGCCCCATACATTGCAGATTCTAGAAAGCAAGTGACTTCTCTTCATACTTGTCCTCAAAGCCAGGTTCTGGGGAACACTCTGGACATAGAAAGAGAGAGGACAGCAAGACTCAGGGGGCCTACCTCATGTCAGGGTGACGCCAAAACACCCTGAAAAGAACAGGGATGAGGCTAGACCACAACCTTCTACGTAGTTCAGGAGATTAGGCCCAACACCAAAATAGGAAGTTCTTTTCTCATTGAAAATCAATCAATATAATCCATTTATAAACAGACTAAGAAGAAAAAAAAACTAATGACCATATCAATGAAGAAAAAGCATTTGACAAAACTCAACATCCATTTATGGTAAAATGGATGGTCAAAACTAGGAATGGAATCAAACTTCTTCAACCTGAAATAGGGCACTTATGAAAACCTGCAGCTAACATCATTCTTAGCAATAAAAGACGAAGAGATTTTCTCCTAAGACTGTGAACAAGGCAAGGATGTCCACACTCACCACTCCTATTCAACATAGTTAAAGGCATTCTAGCCAGTGTAAAAAGGCAAAAAAAGAAATAAAAATCATCCAGGGTGGAAAGGAATACATATAATTGTTCCTATTGACAGACAACAAAAAACTCTTAGAACGAAAAAATGAGTTTCGCAAGGTTGCAGGACACAAGGACAACAGCCCAAAATCAACCGTATTTTTACATACGAACAATGGACAGTTAGAAACTGAAATTAGCCCTGGCCGGTTGGGCTCAGCGGTTAGAGCGTCAGCCTGCGGTCCTGAGAGACCCAGGTTCGGTTCCCGCTAAGGGCACGTACCTCAGTTGCAGTGTGTCCCCGGCCCTGGTTGGGTTGTGCGGGTGGCAACTACTCGATGTGTCCCTTTCACGTCGATGTTTCTCTCTCTCTCTATCCCTCCCACTCTATCTGAACAAAATATCAAAAAAATGTCCTCGGGTGAGAATACAAAAAAAAAAAAAAAAAGAAACTGAAATTAAAAATTAATACCACTGCTCTGTATGTTCTAGGTTGGGGGCTGTCCTGCACTTTAGGCAGGAAGATGGTGACTGCAAAGATGATGGAAGTTGCTGGAGTTGATCAACTCTAGGCTCCAACTTGTTATGAAAAGAGTAAAGTATGTGCTGGGGTACAAGTAGACTCTGAAGGTGATCAGAAAAGCGAAACTGGTCATCCTTGCCAACAACTGTCCAGCCTTGAGGAACTCTGAAATAGAGTCCTATGTCATGTTGGCCAAGACTGGTGTCCAACACTACAGTGGCAACATTAAATTGGGCACAGCGTGTGGAAAATGCTAGAGTATGCACACTGACTATCATTGATCTAGGTGATTCTGATATCATTTAAAGCATGCCAAACATACTGGTGAAAAGCAAATCAGTCATGCAAAATTTTTCTTTAATGAAACTGGCCAGAGCTTGGTTTAAAAAAGAAAAAATAAATTAATACTACTTGCAATAGCTCCAAAAACATGACATACTTAAGTATAAACCTAACAGAATGTGTAGAAGATCTATCTGCATGCTAAAAATTACAAAATGCTGATGAAAGAAATCAAAGAAGACCTAAGTGAATGAAAAAGCATACCATGTTCATGGACTAGAAACCCCAGCTCAATTCTCCCCCAAATTGATCTACAGGTTTAGTGCTGTTTAATCAAAATCTTACTAGAAATTTTTTAAAAAGAAAATTCTAAATTTACATAAACAGCTTATATAATACTGAAGAAGAATAAATTTGGAAGAACCACTCACTATATGAGACCATGGTACTGAAAAGGAACAGGCAAACAGATCAATGAAACAGACCAGAATGTCCTGAAACAAATACACACACGGCCAATTGATTTTTGACAAAGGTGCAAAAGCAATCCAATGGAGGAAGGATAGTCTTTTCAATAAATGATGCTGGAACCACTGGTGGCTTCATATGCATAAAAATAAACCTTGACCTAAACCTTGTATCTTATACAAAACTTAACTCAAAATGAAGCAGATCTAACTGTAAAATGTAAAACTATAAACTTTTTCAAAGAAAACAGAAAAAAATTTATGACCTGGGAAGAGGTAAAGAGTTCTTAGGCATGACATCAAAAGCATGATCTTTTCAAAACAGAAAAATTGATAAATTAGATTTGACCAAAAAAACCTTCTTTTTTCTCTGCAAATGACACTCTTAAGAGAATGAAAAGACACTATAAAAACTGGGAGAAAATATTTGCAAATTGCATATCTAATGGGATTTATTATATAAAGAACATATAAAGAATTTTCAAAATTCAACAGTAAGAAAACAACCCAGTTTAAAAACAGGCAAATGACTAGAACCGAAACATCACCAAAGAGCATATACAAAAGGCAAATGAGCATGTGAAAAGCTGCTTACCATCATTAGCAATTAAGAAAATGCAAATTACAACCACAATGAGATACCAGTACACACCTACTAGAATGGCTAAAATGAAAAATGCTGACAACAGGGAGTGCTGGCGAGGAGTGGAACAACAGGAACTCTTACACATCGTTGTGGGGAATGTGAAATGGTACAACCACTTGCGAAAACCGTTGGTGATCTCTGATAGTTAAACACACACTTACCGTATTAGCCAGCAATCCACTTGTAGGTATTTACTCAAAAGAAAGGAAAACATATGTCCATACAAAAACCTGTAGGTGAGGACTGACAGCTATTTTATTCATAATTGCCCCAAACTGTAAACCTCCCCCAAATGCCCTCAACTGGTGAATGAATAAGCAGGAATACTACTCAGTCAGGAAGGAGAAAATATTGGCTCATGCAACAACTTGACTGGATCTCAAAGGCGCCACAAAAGAAGCCGAACTCAAAAGATCACTAATGAATGATTTTGTTCATACAACAGCCCCAGAAAAACAAACCTACAGTGATGAAGAAAGGATCAATGGCAGGGCTTGTGTGTGAAGGGAGGTCCTGACTGCAAATACCAGGAGGGAGTTTAGGGCGAGACAACCATCTGGATCCTGGCCACGGCAGTAGTTACACAAACCTGCATGTGTGTCAAAACTCAGGGCTATCCACCCCAAAAAGTCAATTTTACTCTGTATTAATTTAAAAATAAAAGTAAATATGGAAACTAGAGTTTTGAAAGTTAAGTTTTTAAAGCAGGTATTGTTTTAGACAGGATGCAATTTGGCAGAGTTCTTAAGAGAAATTTCCTCTTGTTTAGTTCAGTCTAGTTTCATATGGATGGACTGACCTAAGCCTCTAAGAGTCTGATAATAATGATGACATCACCAGCAGCAGAGCAGCAGCAGCAGCATCTACAAATATGGAGTTTTCTTTCTTTTTTTTTTTTTTTTTTACAAATATGCAATATTCACAGTAGCCCATGATGGATGATTTACCCCTTTTTTTTAAACCAGTGGAGGAACTGAGGTTCAAAGAGGCTGAGAGTAGCCTCAGGTCACAGGGCCTGGCTGATGCCAGCAGAGCTCTATCCCAGGGCTCTAGGCTGCCTTCTACTCACTGTCACTGCTTCTGCTGCCAGTCTATTCAGGGTCTAACCTGTTGCCCTGAGAGCCTAGTACATACCGTTGCTGGTGATGACCGGGAGGTGTGGGCCAAGGAGTGTCTGGTGCTGTCCATCCCCCCATGGATGAGATAGGCACCTGTGCTGGAAATGATGGGGCTCCCCCCGACATCCATAGTGATGCCCACCATGCTGTGGGAGGGGACCGATGGCGGAGAGGAGCCTGCCACGGTCACCTGGGCGTCTCCTGGAGCCTCGAAGTAAGATGCTGCGCTGCTTGTGGCATACATTGGAGGCTCGGGATTATAGGCATAGGCTGCCCGCCTGTCAGAAAGAGAGAAGGTGCCTCCTCTGAGTCTTGAAGGAATCCTGCAAACCTTCATGTCACAGTGGAAGCCTGACAAGACTGAACATATAGGGTAAGTCAGACACCAAATGCCCATGCAGCACAGAGTTCAAAGCAATCATCTCTGAAAATATTCAGGATCACAGGCTGACTCATCAAAAACTAATCATTTAAAAAGTCTAAGTATAAAGGAGTCATGTGAGGGAGCTTCTTCACGGAGATGGAACAATTCTGTGTCTTATAACAGCTACATGAAATTTATGCATGAGAAAAAACTGCACAGAACTACACATGTGTGTGTGCGCACACACACAAATGCATCAAGACTGGTGAAACTGAATAAGGCACATTGGCTAGTTAATAATCTCATCCCAGTCACTTTCCTAGTATTGTCCTACAGTCATAGAAGATGTCACCACTGGGGGAGACTGAGTGAAGGGTACTTAGGACTCTGTGGACAAATTTTGTAACTTCCTGTAAGTCTATGATTCTATTTAAAAAAAAGGTTAAAAAAATAAAATTGCATAATAAAAAGAAATTTTTAAGATATATCAAGAACTTGTCTAATACTCCTTTAACATCTGGATCAAATGTTTAACTAACTATGCATGTCATCCCTTAAATTTTTAAGTTCTACTCCAGTAACACTGACCATAGTAAAAGGCAGTTGGTAACAATTTTCCCTTGGGGGTGACTAAATGGTGGTAACCCATCCTGAGGGAAGGCCCCTCTGGGTAGCAGGGTGGCCCTGACCTCTGGGAGGTGTGCACTCCCATTCTGTCCTCCAAGTGACATCATAGATAACTGTAGTACAATCAAACCCAGAAAGTTGACACTGGTACAACCTACATACCGTGCTCAGATGTCATGGGTTTTACATGTGCTCACGTGCATCTGTGTATGCATTAGAACCTTCAGTGTTGTGCTGTAAAAGCTCACACAGTTCTTTAACCACAACCACACCCTTCATGCTTGATCCCTGAACTTTCAAAGGGGTGTTGTCAAAATCAAATGAGCAAAAGGACCTATGTCTCAAGCACAGTGAGCTTCCTGAGAAATGTGTCATTTTCTGCCCCAAGCACCACATAGTTCACAAGCAGAAACCCCTATAAGTCCCTGACAAATAAAAAATCAAGTTGTATTGCCCAGCTGGTGTGGCTCAGTGGTTGAGCATCGACCCATGCACCAAGAGGTCGACCCATGCACCAAGAGGTCAATTCCCAGTCAGGGTACATGCCCAGTTTGTGGGCCTGATCCCCAGTGAGGGGCATGCAGGAGGCGGCCAATCGATGTTCTCTCTCATCAATGTTTCTATCTCACTCTCCCCCTCCCTTCCTCTCTCTCTGAAATCAATAAAGAAAAAAATATTTAAAAAAAAATCAAGTTGTGCCCTGGCCGGTATGGCTCAGCAGTAGAGCGTCGGCCTGCGGTCCAGAGAGACCTGAGTTCGGTTCCCGCCAAGGGCATGTACCTCAGTTGCGGTTTGTCCCAGGCCCTGGTTGGGTTGTGCGGGTGGCAGCCACTTGATGTGTCCCTTTCGTGTCGATGTTTCTCTCTCTCTGTCTCTCCCTCCCACTCTATCTGAACAAAATATCCAAAAATGTCCTTGGGTGAGGATTAAAAAAAAAAAAAAGCCAGAAGTTAACAAAGGCCAAGAGGAGAAAGCAGGGATAGAAGTGGTTTCTGGACTGTGAAGACTGAATAGGGTCTGTCTTTTTTTTTTAAGACTGCCTTTTCTAGAAGTAAAAGCTATAAAGATGTGTGAATTCTGAAATCTCCACAAGGCTGTGATGGCCTAATACCATAAAAATGATTCCAACATATCACTCAAAGGATGAGGAAGAGACTTTGTGCAAACACATCCCCAAATGGCCAAAGGTGGGAGAGTCATAAAGGAAGGTTCCAGACATGGCCTAAAGTTGTCTGTGAGGACCCTTCTGAGGGGAGGGAAACCCACGTACAAGGCTCCATTCGTGTAGACAGCATCTCCACCTTCCACATACTGCACTTGGGCTGGGTACACGTGCTGCACGGGCTGCACCTGAAACATCAGATATTTCGTGTTACGCACAGTATAGTGTACTTGTTCATGATTTTCTATTATTCAAGCTGAAAATAACTTTGATTGCCTTTTATGAGCATTAAGTACTGCATTATAGTTGGCACGTCTGGAAAAAAACTAGGAGAGACAGCCCTGGAAAGGCCAAGCAGGAATGGAATGGAACAGTCACTGCTCCACTGCTGTGCACAAGGGAAGCCAAGTCAATGGCGCCTGTTCTCTGAGGGAAGGAGCCCAGTTGACAGCTGGGAGCAAAACTGCAGAGCAGAGCTGGGACAGGCCCTGGGGCCCACTAGCCACTGGGTAGAAGGGCTGGTGATGCTGGACAGGGGAAACCAGAGTTGTGGGCAGAATGCCAACCTTTGAGTGTTAGGCCTATCACTCACACCCAAAGGCAGGGCAGAGGGCTCAAGCTGGTCACACTCTACATGACCCCTCCCCCCATTCTCTTTTAGGGTGGCCCTGGTGTCCCTCCCCAGCAGAAGGGCAGGGGTCCTGGGAGCCACAATGGGGAGACTGTGAAGGTCTGAGCTGAACTGGAAGAAATGATGGGCCTGGAGTGGGAGATATAGAAAAGGAAGATGGGAGGACTCCAGTACAGCCCTACCTGGTCCCTGTCAGCCCAGCACCTCAGCTAACGGCCCCTGAAGGATGCTAGCCCTGGTGGTGGAGGCCCCGAGTTCTGTATGGAGGACTTCAGAATCTCACCAGAGGGAACCTTAACCAATGCCTAATTCAGCCTCATTGTAGAGTAACAAAATTGAGGGCTGGGTTCCACTGTGACCTCTTTCTAGGCCTGTGTGTGGAGCTGATTCCCACCTCTGAGGACAACCCAAAACAGTACACACTCATACACGCTCACCCATGGAGTAACAGCATATAGTGAGGAGTCCAAGGGTTACCATGCTGAGTGGGCCTTGCCTTAGGGGACCGAGTGAAATGCACCAGTCACCTTGCAAGTCTGTGCTGCCCAGAGAGAAAGAGATGGTGCAGGCCCAGCCCCAAAGAGGGGAAGGTTCTGGAATCGTGACATTGGTCTTGATCTCCCCTCCCTCGAGGAGGTAGAATTCCCTTCTAGACCTGCTCAGAATCTTTGCTTCTCCCCTGACTCCTCAAGCCTCTCCTGGTTCTCACTGACACAAACAAACCCCTCTACACATACTATTCATCTGAGCAGGAACCCCTGAAGAAAGGTGTATTCTCTCATGTCTCTGCATTTCACTCATGGTCCTTTTCAGGCAGGAGCCTGCATTAATTTTAATTCAGCATCTTGCAGAGCCATGAGCCAGCCCTGGGGCCAGGTCTGGCTTGCCTGTTTTTGTAAATAAGTTTTACTGGCACACAGCCAGGCTCCTCCTTTTACATCTATGGCTGCTTTTGGAGACAAGGCAGAGTTGAGTGTTGGTGCCACACTGCCTGGTCTGCAAAGCCAAAAAAAAAAAACCCTTTTGGCCTTTTCCAGAAAAGGTTTGCTGACCGTTGTCCTAGATCCCACTGACTGTTTGAGCTGATGGTCTGTGCTGCTGTTTGGTGGGTGAGCACACACTTTTAAGCTTTCTTCCCAGATAATTTAATTTCATAAGAAGGTGCTCCCTCGGTCATGGCTCTCACCTGAGGGTATAACACTTGCCTACGGAGGGGTTTGCTTCCCCAGGAGGTTCCATGTTTCTCCAAACCAGAACCATCACTATCTGTTCATGTGTCTACCTCGGCACCCAGAGCTCTATCGAGGGGCTGGCTGGCGTCCCACACATTGAATTTCTGAATGAATGAAAGATCACCAGCTGTCTTGGCTTGCGGGAAAACTGTTTGACATGAAATATTTTTTTAAAACATAGCTTCCAAAGAACCTTCTGGTAAGGAACTGAAGATGTCAAAGAAGAAACAGCAATGACAGAAAAGAATGCATAATTAGCCCTGGCCAGTTTGGCTCAGCGGTTAGAGTGTTGACCTGCGGTCCTGAGAGACCCGGGTTTGGTTCCCGCTAAGGGTGCGTACCTCGGTTGCAGTTTGTCCCCGGCCCTGGTCAGTTGTGCGGGTGGCAGCCACTCGATGTGTTCCTTTCACATCGATGTTTCTCTCTCTCTCTCTCTCTGTTCCTCTCTCTCCCTCCCGCTCTACCTGAACAAAAGATGGAAAAATGTCCTCGGGTGAGGATAAAAAAAAAAAAAGAATGCATAATTCAGACAGGGGTCCAGATCGCTAAGTGCTAACATGTCCCATGTCACCTGTGCTGTGGTTACCTGCTGTGGTACCTGCTGGATTCTGGGGAGAGAGATTGGCTGCATCTGGGCCCCTTTGGAAGCTGAGCCCGTTGCCTGGACCAGCACCCTCTAAAAGGGAAAGAGAGAAGGACATTCAGACTTGCCAAAGGTTAGGCCTGAAAACAAACACAGAATACAACCAGAGCTACTGCTGCCTGGCCTGATGTTGCTTTACTGGACCCACAAAACTATGAAAATGTGGAGGATCAAATGAACACCAGAGTCAAGAGAGAAAAAGGAGTGTTTTATTTACTTTAGAAGTCAATGACTTCTATTCTATGATTTTCTGAAGTGGACCCTAAATGTCACTGGTTGTGGTGATTCTGCAGTGCTCTGCCTTCTAAACACCACTGTATAAAAATAAATCAACTAGGACAGGGCATTACATGAGTTCACGATCAAAGACAAAAGGAACATAAATGGTGCAAAAATCAATGGATGAATGGATACATACAATGTGGTCCCTCCACACAATAGGATATTACTCAGCCATGAAAAGGAGAGAAGAGCTGACACACGCACACTACATGTGGATGAACCTTGAAAACATTATGCTCAGCAAGAGAAGCCAGACACAAAAGGCCACATAGTGTGTGATTCCATTGATGTGAAATGTCCAGAACAGGCAAATCCAGAGACACAGGAAGTAGGTTCGTGGTTGTCAGGGGCTGGGGAGGGGGATGGGGAGTGACTGCTAAGGGAGATGGGGTTTCTTTTGGGGGGGTGATGAATGTATAAAAAATGCCACAGATTTGTTAGCTTTAAAATGGTGAATGTTTGCCTGGCTGGGGTGGCTCAGTGAATTGAGTGTTGTCCATGGACTGGGAGGTCCTGTCAATTCCCAGTCAGGGCACATGGCGGGGTTGTGGCCTTGGTTCCTGGTGGGGGACGTGCAGTAGGCAGCTGATAGATATTTCTCTCTTGCATCAATGTTTCTATCTCTCTCTCTAAAACATCAATACGAACATATTTTTTAAATGGTGAATGTTTTATTATGTGATTTTCACCTCAATTACTTAAATAAATAAGAACATTAGGATTTACTTTCATATGCTCTAAAGGTGAGCTGTCCAATATAGTAGCTACTAGCTGTGCAGCCACGTGGCCATTTAAATTTTATTCAGTTTATGCCCTGGCCGGTTTGGCTCAGCGGTTAGAGCGGCGGCCTGCGGTCCAGAGAGACCCAGGTTCGGTTCCCGCTAAGGGCACATACCTCAGTTGCAGTTTGTCCTCGGCCCTGGTGGGTCGTGCGGGTGGCAGCCACTCGATGTGTCCCTTTCACATCGATGTTTCTCTCTCTTTCTCTCCCTCCCACTCTATCTGAACAAAAAATGGAAAAATGTCCTTGAGTGAGGATAGAAGAAAAAAAAAAGTTAAAGTTAAATTTCATTCAATTTAAATAAATTGCAAATTTCAATTCCACAGGCACACTGGCCACATTTTCAGGGCTCAGAGACATGTGGGGCCTGTGGCAGAACATGTCTGCATGGTGGGAAGTTCTGTTGGGCAGTGTAGTAGCTGAGAGGTGAAGCATGGACAATGCAAGGGAATTGAGCTGCAAGAATTCTTTCTGGCAAGGAACTGGTCAGGAAGCCCAGGGTGCTCGTTGTTCTCGGGGATCACAATGCTGCCCACGGGCAAGAGTGTTGGAGGAAAGGAAGTTCCCTGGATAGGCAGTGGGGAAGCTCAACTCGAGCAGCAAACAGTATATCTTGAAATGAAAGGGGAAGGGCAGGGCAGTGAGGATGTTGCCATTTAGGTGAGGGGCAAGGGGGGGTGCTGGATGCATCTCAAGCAGGGACAGGAGCCCTGGAACCTGGGAGGGCTATGACAGGACCCATTTCACCAATCCCACACCCCCTATGGCAACCACCAATCTATTCTCTGTACCTATGAGCTTAATGTGTGTGGGTTTTTTTTGTTTGTTTGTTTAACCTATAAGTGAGATCATATAGTATTTGTCTGATTTATCTCATTTAGCATAATTCCCTGTAGGTCCCCTCCGTGGTGTTGTAAATGGTACGATTTCATTCTTTTTTATGGCTAATATTCCACTGTATCTATGTACCACATCTTCTTTATTCAACTAGACAGTTGAATAAAGGCAGGGTAGTGAGGATGTTGCCATCTATGGACACCTAATTTGTTTCCATATCTTAACCATTTTTTAAATTTAATTAATTAATTTATTTTTGTTACAGATATTTCTCCTTTTCCCCCTACTGATTCCCCCCTTTCCATCCCTCCCCGCCCTGTCCCCAGCTTTGTTGTCCATGTCCACTGTTCATGCACACATGCATATAAGTTCTGTGGTTTATTTCTCCCTTACCACCCTCTCTTCTAGGGATGGTCAGTCTGTGCCCCACTTCCACGTCTCTGGGACTACCCCATTCCTCAGACTGTTATGTTCATTATATTCCACAAATAAGTGAGATCATATGATACTTGTCTTTCTCTGTTTGGCTTGTTTCACTTAGGATAATACTTTCCAGGTTCCCTCCATGTCATATCAAAGGATAAGAGATCTTTCTTTCTTACAGCTGCATAGTACTCCATTGTGTATATGTACCACAGCTTTTTGATCCATTCGTCTACTGATGGGCTTTTGGGCTGTTTCCAGATCTTGGCTATTGTAAATAGTGCTGCTATGAACATGGGGGTACATATATTCTTTCTGATTGGTGTTTCAGGCTTCTTAGGATATATTCCTGGAAGTGGGGTCACTGGGTCAAATGGAAGTTCAATTTTTAATTTTTTGAGGTAACACCATATTGTTTTCCATAGTGGCTGCACCAGTCTGCATTCCCACCAACAGTGTACTAGAGACCCCTTTCCTCCACACCCTCGTCAACACTTGTTTGATGATTTGTTGATGGCGGACATTCTGACAGGTGTGAGGTGATACCTCATTGTTGTTTTAATTTGCATCTCTCTGATGATTAGTGATGTTGAGCATTTCTTCATATGTCTCTTGGCCATTTGTATGTCCTGTTTGGAGAGGTGTCTATTTAGTTCCTCTGCCCATTTTTTATTGGGTTCTTTGTCTTCCTTTTGTTGAGTTGTATGAGCACTCTATATATATTGGAAATTAACCCCCATATCTTAACTATTGTAAATAATGTTGCCACAAACAAGGGGCACAGATATCTTTTTGAGTTATGTTTTTTATTTTGAGACTTATTGTAAAAATTCTTTCCACAAATTTTAAGTATATCCATTCTAATGCTAGATTCAATTTTTAACCAAATGCAGAGAATTTTCACTTATCTTTTACTTTATCCATCAAGTCTTTCTGTGTAAAAGGATCATTTCCAAGGTAGAAGAAAATTTCCCTTAAAAGAGAGAACAATGCCCTGGGCCAGTTTGACTCAGCAGTTAAAGTGCTGACCCACAGACCAAAGAGTCATGGGTTCGATTCTGGTCAAGGGCATGTACCTCGGTTGCAGTTTGGCCTCTGACCCTGGTTGGAGTAGTGTGGGAGGCAACTGATCAATGTGTCTCTCACATCCATGTTTATCTCTCTCTCTCTTTCTCTCTCTCTCTCCCTTTCTCCCAACCGTTGAAAAAAATCAATGGAAAAACATACTCCAGTGAGGATTTTAAAAAAAAGAAAGAAACAGAGAAGAACACACTAAGTCAGATTTGGTAGGGGAGTGCTTTCTTTTTGAGTTTTTATCATCGATTCCTTGGTGGGATCTTTTAAACAAATAGCGTGATGTGGGGGAGACAGAGAAGGTGTGGCTATTTCAACAGCTGTAGCCTTGGGGCTAAGAAGGCAGTTCAGGAGAACAGCCACACTGGTCTTCCAGGGCTGGTCTGTTACCTGTGGGGAGGCTGGCACTGGCTGGGCTACAGGCGCCTGGGCAGCCGCTGACGAACACAAAGCCACAGAAGCTGGTGAGTCCGCTGCACCTTCTGAACTCTGCATGCTCAGTTCTGAAGAGAGGAGGAGAAAGGATGAGTGGGCAGGGCTGCAGTCATGAAGCCCATATAGGCAACCACAGACACAGACAGGACAGGCAAGTGGGAATTCCATACAGCCTTCCAGGTTCAGAGCAGGGATCCAGCCAGGCTAGGTAAAAAATGGGGAACAGGTTGCACAATGGTTCCACAGGAAGGGATAGAGGAGGGGGGCAGGGACTGTTCTTCCAACTCTCAACCAAAAAAAGGTAGCCCTGCAAGAGTTCCCCCGTGGCAGGATGGGGATAACTGCTTGTCCCTGTTCCAGGCTGATCTGGCTGAACTCTTTTCAGGGCTCATGAAATCATTTACTCATTTACCTAGCAAGTCAAAGCTCTTGGTGGATGCCTACTGCTTGGGGAGCTTGGCAAGTGCATTCTCCTAGGGCAGGGCCTCTCTCCCTCAGCACTGTGACATGGGGCTGAGTCATTATCTGGGAGGCACTAAAGGGTGCTAAGTAGCATTCCTGGACCCCACCCACTAGTGCAAGGACTACCCCCTCCCCAAGTCATGACAACCAAAAATGTCTTCAGACATCGCTCAATGTCCCCTGGGGGCAAAACTGCCCCCCAGTTGAGAACCACTGACCTAGGGAGAACAAAGGTGATATACCGTGAGAGTAAAGAAACACTTGGTCCTGGGCAGAATAAAAGTGCTCAGGAATTTCAGCAGAAGTCAAAATTGCCTTCTGTTCCTAGAGATCTTTGCCCGTGAGAAAGTGTAAGAGTGTATTTCTTTAAGGCCAGATGCACACGTCTTTCACATAGGTAGTTTTAAAAATTCTCTACAAAAAGGCTTGTTCAGAACAAAGTGGCAAGTGATACAAAACCATTCTATAAAATGCAGAAAGTCAAACTGTCTTTATTTAAAAATAAACAACTGGTTACCGCAAGCATTTGAGAGGCAGTGAAATACACAAACTTCAGAGAAAGGAGGTGGCTTTGTGGTCAGGCACATCCATCCTGTCCCTGTCCTGTCCAGGCCCCAGGTCTGAGCATGTCACTCCTATAAGTGGAGTCTCCTGGCTCCTGACTCACGAGGAGGCCTGAATGGCACAGCATCCATCACAATGCCCAGGATATAGTGCCAGAACTTTTCTATGTTTCTCTATCACCCTGAGAGTTCCCATCTGCAAGAATGAGTATAGAATTTTTTTTAAGAAGCCTTTTATTTAAATGCAGAGAAAAACTATAACAATAAAATAATTTATTTATTTTAATAAATAAATAAGTAGATTTGAATTTGAGTGTGTTCGTTTAATCTGATCTTTATTGACGGAGACCATTCCATCACTTCCTCCAGTCCCCTTCCCTAATGCCTTTGGTACCATGAGAGCCACTGGATGGTCTGTGTCTGTGGCATTTTTGTTTCCTGTGAGCCCGACTCAGTTCTCAACACTAGATGTCCCCAGCACCCTGTGATGACTGGCACCTCCTACTTCCTTTGCTTCTTCCAGAAGGTGACTTTTCAGATTGTGACTTTCCAGTCCTGTATTTCCTGGGTCTCCAACTTTCTGTCTTCCTGACAGAACTGACCTTTGGAATATTCTGTTGAAAACTGCTTAATTGAGGTCTCTTATTTACAGTTTTCCCTAACATTTAAATCAATCATTTGCGTACTGTATATCACTTTGTTCCCATTTGAAGCCAAGAAGTGGGTAATTTCAGTAACACTAGGAGGAAATATGTAGATTAGAACTCTTTGTGAAAAGAACCCAGTAGCAATAAAGTGAGAAAGCTGACTTCAATGAGACCAGTTCTTTGTTCCACAGGCAGAAATAATTTTGCTCCAAAGTCGAAGCTTTACTGAAGCAAGGAGAGCTGAGAGAGCATTGGGAATAGATGGTGAATCCATGCTCAGCTTACTGTGGCCAGAAGACACCTTTCAAAAAACAATTTATTCCATATCATTTTATGCTAATGTGTTCTCTGGTTTAACACATTATTTACTATGCACTGTCTGAGTTTATTGCACTGTTCAGCTTATATTGCTTAGACCAGGGTCAGCAAACTTTTGCTGTAAAGAACCAGAGACCTTTTGGTCTTTTAGTCTCTGCTGCAACCACTAGATGTTGCCATTGTGGCACAACAGCAGCCTTTGCTGACATGTAAACAAATGATCTTGGCTGTGTTCTAATAAAACTTTATTCCCAAAAACAGGCAACGGGCATGGTTGCTGGTGCTCAGTCCACATAATATGGGTTTGATAAAATAATGTGGTTTTGGAAGGTGGGTAGAACAGTTACACTATCTGGATTCAAAACCTTGGGGTCCACAGGCCCTTGATCTAGTGCATAGTTCTTGTGGGCATAGCTCACCAATATGGCAGGACTAAAGGGGGCTGCAGCGGGCAACTCAGATTGTTAGGAGGGTGGAAGCTGCTAACATTAAAATATTTTTTCTTTATTGATTTTAGAGAGAGAGAAGAAGGGAGAGGGGGAGAGAGAAACATCAATGAGAGAGAATATTGATTGGCCGCCTCTTGCAAGCCCCCCACTGGGGATTTGGCCCACAACCTAGGCATGTGTCCTGACCAGGAATCGAACCAGTGACCTCTTGGTGCATGGGTCAACACTCAACCACTGAGCCATACCAGCCGGGCGGAGCTGCTAACATCTAAAGACACATGGAAATATCAAACACTGTTCTGAAATGACAACAACGATGCTCTAAAGCTTACGAAATCACATTGATTCACCAAACCCTGGGACTCCAGAAGCCAGGTGCAGCCCTTAAGAGTTTGGGCACAGCCCTGGCCAGTTTGGCTCAGCGGTTAGAGCGTCGGCCCACAGACCAGACAGTCCCGGGTTTGGTTCCGCTAAGGGCACGTGCCTCGGTTGCAGTTTGTCCCCGGCCCCAGTTGGGGTCGTGTGGGTGGCAGCCACTCTCACATCAATGTTTCTCTCTCTCTTCCTCCCTCCTGCTCTATCTGAAGATAAATGCAAAAATGTCCTCGGGTGAGGATTAAAAAAAAACAACCAAACATTAAAAAAAAAGAGTTTGGGCACAATGGACAGATCACCGGGGAGTTGTAGTGGTTTGAATTGTGCCTCCCCAAATTCATATCCACCTGGAATCTCAGAATGTGACCTTATTTAGAAATAGTGTCTTTGCAGATATAATCAAGGTAAGGATTGAGATGAGACCATACTGGATTAGGGTAGGCCCTAAATCCAATGATGGAGTTCTTATAAGAAAAAGAAAGGACACACAGGGTGGAAGGCCACATGAAGACAGAGGCAGAGACTGGGGTGATGCAGCTACCAGCCAAGAGACAACAAGGATTGCTGGGAGCCACCAGAAGCTGGAAGAGGCAGGAAGGCTCCTGCCCTAAAGGATTACAGCCATGCCAACACTTTCTAGTCTCTAGAACTGTGAAAGGATAAATTTCTGTTGTTTCAAGGCACCCCGTTTGTATTACCTTGAAAGGCAGCCCAGGAAACTCAAACAGTGGTCTATATGATGAGGAACACAAGGGACAAGTAGGGACCAGGGCATACCATAAGATAATTTTGGTGTAATGCCTCAGTGCCATGCACAACTCAGGCAGTTGATACATATTGATCAAATGAATATTTTAGTAACTTCTTAGTATTATATCTGATATTGAATTATATAAAATTGTCCAGCATTTCAGGTAGTGAGAATCTCTGACAGTGCTTTATGAAACAGATAATAATACACGGCATTCATATTTCAAGAGGCAATACAGATGGAAAATATAAATACATTCATAAAGTTTTAGAAAATTTAAAATCTACCTGGTTATTTTAGGATATCTGGAACTATTTTGTGAAATGTAGTGACTTTTTGAGACTGACTGCTCTACTCCCCCTGAACACCTCCCTTGATGCTAGTATTGGACAGAAAGACTGACAGACACTGTGTGCACCAGCTTGGCTGCTTCAATATATTAACACACAACACATCTGTCTGCAGACAGCATGAAATCCTTCCTTACCTACCTGAGATAACGTTGTAGGTTGCACAGAAGCTGATCTAGTTTTCTGAAATTTAAAAAAAAAAAATCCGGGTCCATTAATCAATAGCTCTTAGTACATCCAAGTTTAGGATTTTTTAAAAATGGTTTTTAAAAGGCATGCAACAGAGTGCTGGCTTTCAGTAATGGTAGAGCAGATTGGTTGGACTAACTCTCCTACAGATTAACAATGATAAAATATTGGCAAAATGTTTTTTAAAAAACATAACTATTTAAAGTCACTGGAGGGTTGACCAAAGCAGGCAGACACTGCCAGGAGTCCACCCTTGAAAGGCCACTGTCACAGGTTAGACCGGAGACTCTGTGGCTTTTGGCCCTGAGGGCACACCCCAATCCACAAACACTAGGGAGGCAGAAGGCAGCAACTTGCTGTGTTGAAGTGTCAGAGGAGAGAATTCAGAATGTTAGGGGGGATCCTGGAAGACAGAGAGTCACAGAGGGAGTAAGGCTCCAGATCCAACTACAGAGCACACCCAAATCGTTAAACCACACATGTGTTGGGAAGACCCAAGGGGTCTTGGAGAAAAACCAGCAGCTTGACGACAAAAAAACTTAGGAAAGATTTCAGCTGCTGTCCACTGCAGAAGTGACAGAGTTTCAACCCAACCAATTTAAATGCTGTCAGGGAAATACAGCAGAATCCAGATATATTACAACATATCTTTCATGATTTCCAGGACCCAATAAAAACTGTGAGCTATGAAAAGAAACAGGATATTGTCATCCATACTCAAGGAAAAAAGGAGGAGTTAATTCAAGCAAACCAATCCAGGTGATGCAGATAAAGCAGCTACTAAAAATATGCTCTAGAACTTAAAGGATGTTATATGCACAATGAATGAACATATGGGAATCTTAACAAAGGAAGAGAAACTATAAAAAGAACCAAATAGAAATTCTGGAGCTGAAAAGTACAATAACTGAAATGGACATTTCACTGGATGTGTTTAACAGCTGGTTATCAGAGATGGCAGAAG